ATATGCCCAATTTCCTTTTTCCAGCCACTTATTGCTACTTGTCCCAACTTTTTAGGGATTTGTTGACACTGTGAAATTTTGAATCAACATATTTTTCCTTTCAAATTTTACATTTACTCAGATTAAACTTTTGATCTGTCATCTATGTTATATTACGAATAAAATATTGACATTTGCCATCTCCACATCATTGCATTCAGTTTTTATTCACAATTTGTTTAGTGTCCCAACTTTTTTGGAATCCGGTTTGTATTTAACAATGAATTTATCTTTATTTTTTATTTTGCAGGAGTCCCAGCTGAATGCATGCAGCTCAAAACTTTGTTTTCTGTAACTACAGACATTATCTTATTTGAAAAAGAGTTTTAAAGCTCTTACAAATGAGTCCTCAAGGCTCAATGGGAACTAACCTGTATAAATAAAGGTTGAATGAATAAACCATTAGCATAATTTATTAGGCCCGAGCAGCAAAGCGCTGCAAAGGCCTATTGTAATCGCTCTGTTCAGCCCCGAACTATAAATTTTTTGGCAAATGATTTGGTGTGTTGGGGGCCTTAACATAACCCAAAACTCACCAAATTTAGCGGACACATCAGGACTGCTGAAAAATTACGTATTTTAAGGGCGTCGCAAAAATTGCAACAGAAACGGCTCAATAGCGCCACCTAGAAATATTAAAAATACCCTCCGCATTAATCTTAGTATGTCGTAGAAGCATGAAATTTGGTACACGTGTCCAATTCCCCAAGATGCACAGAAAACCCTCTGGCACCAACATTGTACGATAAACAGGAAGGAAGTAATTTTGGAATGCCATCCCAAATTTCACACCTTCTTGAAGGTTTACAGCCTCCGGATTTGAACAAACTCGTCCTAGGGATTTCGCTCAAACAGTTACAAACCTGGCCAGTTGGTTCAAAAGGTATGGGGGACAAAATTTATCTTAACGGTTTGTTTCGGAGCATGCTGCAGGTGCGGGGCCAGACCTCAAAGTCTGACATCTCGCCATGAAAAATGAAACGCTAGTAGCTCCTACACAAAAACTGTCTGACACATCAAACCTTCAGTGATTGATCCACATCCAGTCCCTTGGAAGACTGAATGGTCAAATCATGACATCACTTAAGCCACGCCCCCTGACAACAGGAAGTGTAAAGTTTTACATTGAATGGTCCCTATCTGACCAGTTACCTAATCAGCATGATAGTGTGTCCAGTGACCGAAGACATGTTGGTGTAACTTGCTTTCCAACACTGACAGTTCTGGGTGGAGCATGTGGGCGTCGCGATGTTGCAAAGTAAGACGTAACGCCGTCGCCATACGTTGGGCTCTAAATTCTACAGATTTGAACAGAGATCCAGTATGATCGATCATTATCCACCCCTTGAACAGGAATTCATGATAATTGACCAATAGCCTCCACAGCACACCCTAGAATATTTTAAAACCTCAGCCGCAAGCCATTTTTTGACCGATAATTTTGAAACTCGGTGAACATCTGTATCTCATCAGTACCTATGAAAAAGTCTCTTGGAGCTGTTGCGTTTTGTGGCTTACTGCGGGTCGTCAGTCACTACAGCTAGCTACAGCTAGCCGTGGGCCTCAGGCTTCCTCTCTGACCCTGGACCCTCAGCCAGCCCCCACCGCTTCCTCTGGTTCTCTCTCTCTCAGAAGTGGCAACTCATACTATCAATAAGTCAAGGAAACGTCAATTAAGTTTTATCAATTATATTAGAAAAGGCAGGAAAGATTACAATTTACAGCGCTGGACTCTTCGGTCTGCGACGCGTTCACAGACCCGGAAGAGCCCCAATGTCCCATGTCATTACTCATTTATAGGGTCCTAAGGCTCCGCCTTCGCAGAAGGAGATCTCAACCTGTCAGTTCATGAGGGGGCGTGACTAAGTGTGATCTCAGTGGATCTTATGTGGACTGACGTGCTAAGAAAATATGAGACGGTGCTTCAAAAAGCCTTTCTACGCGATGTGGCAAGCAGATCATACTCTATTCCTTGACTGACATTGAAATCCCAGGGAGACTCTCTTAAGAGTTTGCTGGCCCAGTTTAACCCAGTCAGAACCGGGTCATAATTTCATTATAATCCCGTCTCTGAGCAGATCAAAACCATAGGACCAGTCAAGATTAAAAATATCTTAACAAGTCCAAAACCAACAGGAAGTCGGCCATTTTGGGTCAAAGGGTCATTTTTGGGGTGTTTCTAATTGTGAATTTTAACGAACTCCTCCTAGGGATTTTGAAGGATTGCCTTCAGTAACACATTGGGGAGTAAAAGTTATCAAAAGCTTGTGTTTTTGTATATGGTAAAGGGGCGAGGCCAGGTCTCCAAATTGTACTTCACACCGTAAATTTCCAAATGCTATAACTTTCACATTGAAAGACTGAAATGCACCAAACTTGGCATGAGTCATCCCTGTTGTATGCCCGACGAGCCTCTGTGGTCATATTCTGACATAATTAAAGCCCCGCCCCCTCAGCACAGGAAGTCTCTTTTTTTACTTGGATTGCTCCCTCCCTGACACCCTTCACCTAATCAGGATGATCCTGTGTTAGAAGACATTTAACAAATTGGTCTGACTTACTTTAAAATACAAAAAGTTTTCGAAGGGGTGACGAATTCAGAAGTGACGCCGTTGCAATATGTTTGGCTATGAATTCCACAGATTTGAACTGAGGTGCACCAAAATCAGTATGATCGATTATTATCCACCCTTTGAACAAGAATCCATGATAAGTGGCCAATAGCCTCCACAGCGCCACCAATACTATTCCTACAGTTATATCTCAGTGATACATCATCCGATCTGAACCAGATTTATTGTGCGTCATCAGTGAGCATGTCTAGACACATTGGTATTGTTGTTTAACTTTTTACTCAAGTGTGCCCCCTATTTTATTCCAACAGTTATATCTCATTGAAATATCATCCAATTTGTGCCAGATTTTTGGTGCGTGATCAGTGAGCATTTCACGACACATTGGTATTGTTGATTCATGAACTCACTTAAGCCCCACTCACTCAGAGAATAAACTCTGTGGCTGAGTGGTTAGAGCAGTCATCCTCCAATGCGAGAGCTGGGGGTTTGAATCCACCAGCAGTCAAATGCTGAAGTGTCCCTGGGCAAGACACTGAACCCCTCATTGCTTTTGATGTGTGTCCCATCAGTGTATGAATGTGATAAAGCACTGATTAGTCTCAGAATGATTTGTTCAATTAGCTTTGTAGAGATCTAGTAGAGTGCTGTGTGGATGGGTAAATAAGGACACAGATTGTAGTATAAAGCGCTTTGAGTATCTCGAAATAAGATAGAAAGGCACTATACAAGTACAGTCCATTTACCATTTACTGGGTGACTCTTCCAGCTTAGCCCTGTGTAAGATATGACTGAAACTGTAACTGTTGATTACCACACAACATGTTGAAAAGCATAAAGGAAGTGCTCGTCCAACATTCGCAACAAAACAGGAAGTCACAATTACTCCTGTCTGGAAGGTCAGATTTCACGTATACATGTAAGACCTGGAGCTGGACTAGTACTGACATGGACAGAAGGCGATATCAATGATTCAGGAAATGCGCCTCGTGATGAATACATATGAGACTGGCACGAGGGCGTTTGCAATGGCAATTGGGTGGAGTGGCTGGAGCTCGCGCGGTCGCCGTATGGCCGGAGCGGCGCTTTGCTGCAAGGGCCTTCAATGCTGCTTGCAGCTTTAAATTATTTTTATCCATCCATCCAATGGATGCTAGTAGAACCAAGTATCAGAGATCTGATGCTTGGTTCTTCTGTTGGCACAGTCAGAGGTGTTCTGGACCCCCTCCTCTGCACAGAGTCAGACCTCCTGTGGGGCTCATCAACTCTTCCACCCAACTATCGCTGATTTTATTGTGCTGAACTCCATTCAACTTCCATGTTTTTTTCTTATTCTTCTGAATAAAAAACTGAACTCTGCTGCGGTAACAGCACTTCAGTTATCCACCAGCTTGCTTTTCTACGACCCACCTTCCTGTTAGTAATTGGTCAAGACAATACAAGCTTCAATGTGATTGGATGTAATCCTTGTTGAGGCGGACCCTGTCTCGCTCTCAAGCTGGAAAGCTGGCCCCTGACCAGAGTGCTGTGTGTGTGTTCATAGACACTGAGGACAAATTAAGGAGGAAAGCAAAACCTAACAGTATTAACGCACATTGAAATAATTGTCAGCCTTAACCATTTGCTGCGTTAATTCGATAATAACGAGTTAATGTGAACATCACTAATATAAACAATGAACATGAACTTATCACCAGCAAACTGGTTGGTCCACTGTAGAAATGTACTGCTTAGTGCGAAAAACAGTTTGTTTGGGACTTCTCAGACTGATGAAGCCCTTCGGATGGAGGGAGAAACGTCTCTCAACAAAAAATAAATAAACTGTCCAGATGACCTGATTGAACATTGCTTAATGTTTTACCTGGATTATAGGGCATGAACCTTGATTAGATCAAAGGTCTGCCGCCTTTATACATCTCTTCCTACATGTCTCTGCGTGAGTGCAGCTACAGCGTGCGCTCTCAGGACATTATTACCTGCAGTGTTCCCTCAGTGAGGACTGAACTAGGCAAAAGGACCTTCTCCTACTCCGCTCCTGTTTCCTGGAATATCTTGTAAAAAGAACTGAAGCTCTCGACCTTGACCTCTCTAAGTGGCTTTAAGAATCTGTTGGACTCCTGGCAAAGACCAGTGCAGACATGTTCCTGTTTTTAGTTTTCTACATTCGCTTTATAATCTAGCTGTTTTTGTTACTTTTTTTTTGCTATCTTATTTTAATTTGTAAAAAAAAATCTGCACGCCTCTTTTATAACTGTCTATTGTTGTCACTATTGTCCATTGTGATTAAATGTGATACAATTAGGTGACAAACCTATGCTTACATCATGAAATTTGCATAATTTCACAATAATTGCAAATTTTACAGGAAATGCCTCTAAGTAACTGTACCTGATTCCAGCAAATTCCACCTTCTGGGTCACATAAGCACATGTGCTCACCTGAAACACAGCAATTGACGTTTAATACCATTTCACCTACAGTTTTACACTGAAATGAAAAGTTCACATACGCACCAGACTCTTCTTTAACCTCCACATGTCTCCTCTGCCAATATACTGGTCTTTAAAAGTCAGCTCCACAAGGTCCAGTGTTACATCCTTTTCAAGAAAAATAGACAACATCACAAATTTATTACATATTTTAAGTTTCACTAGCAGGAGAAGAAACTAAAGCTTGCCAGCTGAACGTACCTTTGGATCAACGATGTTAACAATTACATCTTGGTATGCACGGAGCTTAAAGACTTGAGCTACAGTCTGGTCCACACTGATCGTCTCTGCATTACAGGAAGATGTTCATCAAGAAAATAAACTTTTCCAGAAGTCTGCACTATTTCAGTAAGGTAGCATTACATTTCTTTACTTTTCTGAATTCTAAAATTTGCTGCAATGAGTGGCAGCAAGTCCAAGAAGCGCCACGTTTTAATTAGTGAAGAATTTTTAAATTTAATATCTATATGTGTTGTAGGATATAATCCTGATCAATTTGACTTTATTAATATTAGGTTCATTTGTTTTGATTATCTGCATTTGTATGTTTTCTTAATTTGATCTAAAATGTGCAAAAGGCAAAGTAATGAAGTTGTCTTTGTTTGGAATAGGGGTTAGTTTAGAATCATGGTCTAGAGGATCCACTAGGGCAGGGGTGCCCAGTACGTCGATCATGATCTACCGGTCAATCGCAAAGGCATTATGGGTAGATCACATAGCATTAAAAAATATAAAAAATAGACGTCAGCCTATCATCCATCCTCACTATGAAATTTGTTACTTGATTGACATACAGGGCAGCCATTCACAGCCGTCCTTCTCTCAAACCTGGTCTGAAAGATTTTCAGGGAAACCCCATCCACGCTCCCCCACCCCCGAAGGTGTGAAATTCTCCGTGTGTGAAATCAAGCATACAGGCGGCTGCAGTCCAAAGTTTTTCTGCACTAACAACAGTTATAATAAATGGAAGAGAGCAGAGAGTTTTTGTGCTACTCACCCTTTTTCAGCATTTAGGAGCAAAACTAATAAAATCCAGGGTCCAAAGAGCTGTTATTCATCAGTTTGGACATGATCATGCAGTCGCTGCATGCACAATGAACACAGCTGAGCCCGAGGTTGCCAGATAAATTTTAACTGCCTTATTTACCACCTCCTTTTCTGTGCACATGTTCAAGAAACACAACACAAATTTCATCTTGCTCAAGATGAGAGTTCTGCGATGGAGTTAAGTTCAAAGCAGTCTGCTCCTCTGACAAATAGCGTTAAATTATTATTTTATATGAATGTTTCTGTTTACTCATTATTTTGTATATATGAATGTTTCTGTTCAGTGCCCTGAGATGACTTCTTTCATGGCTTGGCGCTATATAAACAAACTGAATCTTACTTCATCATCATCTTTACTCAGCACATATGACAGTTTAGGTCAAAATACTATCATTTTAAAGCCACAATACTATAGTTCATAATTTCTTATCTGGCAACCTGACTGACAAGAAAACTACAGCATTTTTCATGTAAACCTGCTCATTTTTTGTTTATTACCCCCAATAAACATTGAAAAAGCACTAATGTTTCCAGAGGTTGTTCTCGTGTAAACGGGGCCTTATAGTAGGTAGATCACTTTGACTTGGTCATTTCAAAAGTAGCTCGCATGCTGAAAAAGTTTGGGCACCCCTGCACTAGGGGGACTCGCATGATTTTCCCCCACACTCAATACAAGCAGGTGAATGGAGAAGCAGTGATCCAGTGTCCTGTGATCATTTTCTCTTACTATCTCCCTTCATTTAAGGTAATTAATGGGATAAAACATTTAAGAGAACAGTGTGTGGACATAGACTGGCCCTGTACATATGTGTCTGTATGCGTTTGGTTTGCTTTGCATCGCAGAGTTCTTTGTTTGGCGCTTATGTGCTGTATGAGAAGTATTCAGCTAACTAGTAGTTTAGCACTATTGCTAGTGGCGGGAGGCCTCATGTCCCGCTATGGCGTCCGGCAGTTTGATTTGTTTAATGTACTGCCTTGCTTATAATTTTTTGTACAGTTAATACAGGTAATGGTTTTCTTAATTATTTTGATTGGAAATATTTAAATTTCATGCTTGAAAATTAGTTTTGATTTTACAACTAAAACATTACTTAAATAAGAGTAAAATGCTTAAAACTGTTAAAAACATTTAATGTGAAACACTTGTTTTGGATGTGTTTAAAAACATAGTTTAAATAATTTACAGTTAAAAATATTATACAAAAATGGTGTGAAAAGAGATGTTCCTGTGTTCTGTATTTTAGTTGTTAATGCAAAGGTGATGTGAAACACTATAAGCTATTTTAGTTAGCACTTTTTACTGGTTTTGATATTTGTGTATTGTTTTCTGAAATACATACTCAATACAAGCGGGTGAATGGAGAAGCACTGATCCGGTCTCCTGTGATCATTTTCTCTTACTATCTCCCTTCTTTTAATCAGAATCAGAATTAGAATAAACTTTATCATCATTGCTCCGAGATACAACAAGAACATGTATGTACAGTCATCCGAAAGATGGGCGGAGTGCACGAAGCTGCTACTATAAAAAGGCGCTGTCCTCTTATTCTTATTCAAAATCATATTTTGCTTAGATGAGAAAAGGGAAGAAAACATGAGGAGAGACGGTATAAAAAAAGATCTCTCACTCCGTGTCCTAGACAGGGCATGATTTGAGGCATAAAAAAAAAAACTACCACAGAAAAGCAACATAAACAGACGTTATACATGAACATATAGGCCGGTGAAAACATTGAATTTTTAAGGGAAAGTCGTAGCATAGTCCAGAGCCCCCCCTCTCAGCCATTGTCCAGATAAGAGGTGACATTCATCATCAGCTCAGTTGAGGTTCTGTCACATGTCCACGGCCTTGGGGAAGGGAGGGGTGAGGAAACAGTCAAAGCATCTTTGTTTTTTCAAAACATGCCAGGAGGAGTTGAGATAAGTCCGGCGTCAAGGCCACAGTTTGGGTCAGGCTGAACTTGTAAATTGCCGTTTCTGCCTTTTAAAGTCTCGCTGGTATATTCCTCTGATGGAAACTCCAAACAACCAAATTGATTCCTTAAAGTCAAGCTCGCAGCTTCTCAAAGAATATTCTCACCTTCATGTGTGCTGCTAGAGAGTTCACAGTCCTGATAACAGCTGCACCAGCTCTCTGATGCAGCTGCACATAATTCAGTCTGAGTGCTGCCGAGCTTCGACACATCCACACAAATTTGTAGACAATCCAGATTTCACTAGCCAAACAGCAAAAAAACAGTTGTCATCATGAATCCAATTTGTTTTCATCGAGGTAGGAGGGTCCTCCTTACCCTGATTCCTGTCGGGAGAAGTTGATCAATTTTGTTGAGAGACCAGCTGAACCTTCAAATTAGGAGGGTATGAAGTAAAAAAAAAGAGGCTCTTTAAGGGTTCACAGGACAAACAAGCAGGGAAGCGGCGGGTGGTACAGAGTGCCGGGAAAACACGTCTGACTTCACCGGAGTACAGAGAGAAAAGAAAAAAAAGGGGTAAGGGGTTAAGGGGTAACATTTGGAGGCAAGGCCAGGATGTTTGGTGAAAGGACCATCTCCAAGATTCCAGTGGAACCCTCCTACTAATCATCTCAAAACTACCCAAGAATCACAGACAGGCTTGCAGAAATCATAACGTAGAGATCTTCAGACAGCAGTTGACAGTTTGTATCCTGATGTGCCCTGATGACTAGGGAGCAACACCAATCAATTGAAGTCAGTTGGGCCCTATTTTATTGTTTCTGAAATCGCAGCATGCAATATAGAGTCAGATATGGAAAAGAAATTCAGTTGGAGATAAAAGGAGCATTGTATAAGTTGACAGCTGAACAGATGATTAAAGTATGCACCACACTGCAACTCTAAGCACCTGGAAGAAAACCTTACGTATATGTATACGTCAGTCCCAATGGTGTGTAACCCCAACTTGGTAGAACCCAAGGCCTTGCCAACCTTAAGACAACCTCCAACCTCAAAGAACTACGTAGTTTCCTTGGTGTTTGTAACTACTAACACCAGTTCATAGAGAACTACGCTGATCTGGCAAAACTTGCAACCAAACTCCTCAAAATGGATGTGCCTTTCAAGTGGTCAGAGTCAAGTTCAGTCAAGAAAGGAATTTTAGTGTTAGCAAGCCATGGATGCCCTCAAGGCCAAGCTGTGCTCAGCACCATGTCTGGCATACCCTAACAGTGGCAAAGATACTACCTTGAAATGGGTTTTTCAGCTCACTGCTTGAGAGTTGGTCTGTACCAACTCTATGACCAAGACAAACGGGTAGTAGCCTACGCCAGCAAAACTCTGGCAGGCCCTGAACTGAAATACTCTGACTGTGACAAAGCACTGTTAGTCACTGTGTGAGCAGTGAAACATTTCTCTAACTACCTAGATGGACGAAAGAGTATTGTGGAAACACAACACCAACCAGTAACTTTTCTCAACAGCCAGCGTATCAGAGATGGTGTGGTGACAAACACACGGATCGTTCATGGCTTATGACCTTGCAGAGTTTTGACATAGAGGTCCGCTATGCTCAAAACAGGAGAACCCCTCTGGGTACAGACTTGGCAGCATGCCAACAGTGCACTCAGGATACCCCTTTGGTCCAGACATCTGTTGAACATGGCATGGCCTTTGAAGACCCACATCATCAATACTTTGGTGAAAATGTTTGTAAAGACATGACAACTGTGGATGGATGTTCCTTCCACCACAACACTGTTAACAAAGCTGGTGTTGGTGCTGTTTGGCTCCACAATGGTGAACAACACAACTTACATTTTAAACTAGACTCACAATCATCACAACATGCCAAAATCGCAGGCATATTGATTGCATTGAAAACTGCGGTAAAACACACTGTTCATTCATTGGTGATCTGCACAGACCCCAATTACATGGTTGAGTTTTTCTTGCCACCTTGCTGTGTGGAAACGTTAAAGCTTTCTAACATGCAACAATAAAGCGGTGAAACACAAGGACTTGTTCATGACATGTGATCACTTGGTGACATTCGACAACCTACAAGTTTTTTGAAAAAAGGACATAGGCCACTCATGTGTGCCAGGAAAGGCCAAAGAGCTTATTGATCTTGCAGACTCGTTAGCCAAAAGAGGTACCATCAATGGCAACTGGTGGTCTTTCAACCCCTCTTGGCTGCCTGCTCATGTCCCAGACCCTCCCTCCTCAAAGGTTTGTACTCTCACATGTTCCCGTGCTAAAGCCACCACCTCTACAGCTCCAAAACC